TGGGGGCTGAATCTCTGAATCCAAATCAAATCAGGAGACCCTTTAATTTCTCTTAACTGAATCAGAACCCTCCAAATCGATTCAGAGAGATTTGGAAAGATTTGACAATTTGGCCTGTGATGGTTGGGGCCTGACGTGTTGCACAGCCTGTCTGGTGCATAGCCCTGCCCCTCAACTCACCTGCCCTGCCTTTGATGTTAAACCATTAGGAGAAGGGTTCAGTGGAGATCTCCCTGGGAGGGCCTCCTGACAAACGGCAGTACTTATGATTTTGTTTGGCACGATGTTCCACGGGGCTCTGCCTCCCCTACACCCCATCCACACACCAACCAGATGGATATTCATAGAGAGGGGATTTTGGCCCTGCGGGGTTGCCCACAGCCTGCCTCAAGTGAGGTCCCATTCTGACGTGGATGCAGATGAATCTTCTCCCTCTGACTTCGAAGCATGGCCTGCCTCCTCTAAGCTCCTTAATTTCCTTTTCCCTTTTTTAGAAGAAATACTCCCCTGAGGAGGAGAGGGCTGTGGAGCTGCCTCCTTGGCTCCAGCCTCCTCTAGGGGCCTCAATTGCCTCCTCTTTCCTGCTCCCTACAGGGAGCTTCAATGCTTCCCTCAGGTTGTCTTCAGCGGGGAGCTGGAGGGCTTCCCCTGCTCTGCCTCCTGCAGGGAGCCCAGAGGTTTCGCCTGCATAGCCTGTGGGAGACACACAGGCTGCACCGCTCCTCCTCCACACAGGAGCCTCAGCACGTCCAACGTGCTGCCCACCATCACTCGCTTTCCCCGGCTCCACCTCTGCCCTGGTTCCAGTGGGGCTTTTCAGTTTTCCCACGGCAGCCAGTATGGCCACCGTTACTGGTCCAGCTGTTCCCCACATGAAAAACAGCTGATTAAACAGCCAGCATAATGCCAGCTCATGCAGCCACGGCTGCGGCCATGGTCTCAGCTCCTGCACCAGCTGTCCGGCAGAGGGTAAGTCACCCCCCACTGGGGGTCTGTTTCCAGGGTTTGGGGCCCACGGGGTTTCCCCTCTCCCATTCGGGAGCCTGTGGTGGCACCTCACTGCCACACGGCCATAGACGCAGCTTTGAATGTTTTTTCTATATACGCCAAGGTACCAGGCAGCTCGTGAATGCTCCAATGGTGGGGCAGATGGAGTGTCCCACAGGAGCATGGGAGTGGGGGGTCCCCAGTGTGCTCAGCAGCAGACCAGAACCACCTGGAAGTGGCCCCCCTGCACTCCTCTGGCTCAGCTGCTGGAGCCTCCTGGGTCTGGGAGGGCACCTGGGGTCCCCCCATGGCCAATCGCTGAGCCAAGGGAGTGCCAGGGGGCCTCCCAGCATGCTGGATGGTGGACCCAGAAAAGGACCGGAAGTCCATGCACCCCAGCATCGCAGAGTTCATGAGCCACGCCTGGTACATCGAGGTATGTAGAAAAAACATTTAAAGCTGTGTCTATGGCCGAATTGCTGATTCTCTGAATCAGCATCGAATCTTCAGATTCAGATTCAGCCGAATTGAGTCAGGGACAGTGATCCAAATCAATTAATTGAATCACTGTCTCTGATTCAGGCCGAATCCAAATCTGAATTGAATATGGACTGTTTCACACACCCCTCATATATATGTGTGATCCAGTTAATTATAATATGGCCTTTAAATAATGCTGATAGACTTTTAGCACACAAACCTCATAGATCTTGTTCCCCTTTCACGAATCTGGATTTCACTGGATCAATTCCACCTCTGATACAATTGTATTATGTTTACTTGCATTTGATTACATTTTGAGATGCACACAAAATATTTTTTAAAATCTTAACTCATTTGCATATTTGAGATCACCAGTCATGCTCTTCTGCTGATTAATGGCTTCTAAAGGGAGGCAAATTCAAGGTGATAATAGTGAATGCCAGTTAACAACTTGCATCAGTTAGATTTTAATCTGACAGATATTTTGGCAAAGAGACATTATTTCTGTAATTTGTTTTTTGAAAATCACTGCAAGCCCATAGATACCAAGGAGCATCTGCACATTAAACCAGTCTCTCATTAGCTTAAAAATAAAAATTAATAATGTAAAAATGAAAATCTCATAATAAAGTATAAACCAAAGCTTTTTTGTCTCTGACAAAAAAAATATCATTTGCATTGTCCTTCAAAAAGCAACTTGAATAATGTAGAATAAATTGTATATGCATATTCAGATTACAGTTTCAAGTATTGTGTTTCATTGTTGGGACCAGGGATCAGCCCTAAACAATGCATAAAACATTTGAAGGTGTACCTTGAGTATGAGTGTTTATTCCTCATTGTATCATAAAAAACAATGTTTGTTTTTTCTTTGGATTGCTGCCTTAAAAAATATCTCAACTGATACAGCCTGATTGGGTTGAGGAGTAAGTTATGTTGTCACCTTCACTGTTCTATTGTTTTACAAGTGTTGGTAATTTTAAATCATGGAAGAGAAATGGGAACCACTTGCTTCCTGTTTCTACCAGTCCAAAATAAAACCCTGACCCCAAACTCTGAGGGAACTGTTGGGATTATTCAGATTTGATCCATATTTGATCTTTGTATTATGAGCCCATCTCTTTTCTTTAAGAACTGTAATTAGATTCTGATTTTGTTGAAAACAACCATGCAGAAAGACCTGAAGATGCCGGATATGAGCATGTTTCTGAACATAAGCATCAGCATTTTCATTTGTGAACATAAGCATCAACAGCGTATCTCCTATATTCCATTGTAAGTGAAGTTTTCAACCCACAAAGTTTACTTGTCAGAAAGAAAACCAATACAATGTTTGAACAATACATGTCTCAGTTATTTGGCCTTGCACAGTGACAGTATTATTGTCAGCCCTAGTTATGGAACTTCATTTAATTCTTATTTCTTTCATTGTGGAGAGAGTCTTAAAGGCTAAAACTGAATATCTGAAGGAGAAAACATTGCTTTTATTCTTGTGTATCATTAACAACAATTATAATGTGCTAAGTTACTATTAGCTATGCAGTAAGGCACAATCCATGTGTCTCAGAATTTAGGCTGGGCTTTTTACAATTGCTGAGTGAGTTGAAATGCCTAAGTCCCACTAAAATCAATGAGCATTGTGCATTTTTATATCCTCCATGGCAGGGGAAAAGATAACAATATACAACAAAGAATCTTTTATGCAATAAGTCTGAACATATTTCAGTTCCTTCCTATGTTCTTTCTATGTTTTTTGCATAGCACATTTCAATGATCAACTATATACAATTTCATTTCTTCTTAGCTTTTATTAGCTGATTTTGATAGGTATCGTGATCAAAGCAGATCTTTTTTGAACTGCATAAGGGGATATGTAAGAGGGTTGATGTGCCTGCTCCCAAGCAGGTGGGCTTTATCCCCTTAAGGTCTCCTCAGCCAGGCCATGCAATAGTATGTAATATAAACAGTCCCCTTGCCCAAACAAACAAGCAAAGCAAAATCTTCAGCCCTTCTGGAACTGCCAGGTCCAGCAGGGAGTAGCAGCAGACAGAACAGCAGCAAAGGCAGGGAGGAGAGCACAGAGCAATGTACTGGTCAGGGGAAGAGGATCAGAGTGTCATTTGCACACCTGGAGCAGGTAAGGCTTACCTTATGCCATGCCTGACAAAAAGATTTGCCCCCTGCTGTTATATAAAGTTAAACTACTCCGTTTGTTGTGATGCCTGTTTATAGCTGATGCAAGCTGAGGCTCCATCTCCTTCAAATGGAGTTGCTTATTTATTTGTTTATTACTATTTTTGTTGAGAAGTTGGGGCTTCGGTCTTATATTTGGACACTCCAAAAACTCTCATCTGAATCTTTTGATAATCTTTTCATTTGTAATTTAGCAGCATTGACTAATGCTGTATTTTCATGTTTTCATTCAGTTCTACTTTGAGTGAATTGCTCATGTGTTCAAATGATCCTCAATCTCAAAGAATTAGTGTTTCTGAGAGCCTTGATGCTTTGTACAGATGAAAGACTCATTGAGTGAAAAACAGGTTCTGCTTCAGTAAAATCACCATGGGTCAATCTAAAAGACTATAGGGTTTGGAGATCCTTGTAGTAAATTTCTTCCTTTTTTTTCTTGTTGGTTTTTTTTTTTTCTTTTCCTTTTGTGTTAATGGAAAATTAACTGTAATAGACATAACTGTAAGGGTATTAAATTTGAGTGGAACATAGAAGTAGCTTTGTTATAATTTAGCAATGTTTTCCCAGTTTTTAATGAGGTAGTGAGTGGGCTGGCTTTAAGAATGTCTTGAAAGGATGCAGTTCCTTCTGTAAAAATACAAATGAAGCATCCCTAATTACAAAGGCTTTTGTACACATGAAATAAATGTTTATGTAAAAATCTATTCTTTCATTGTAATAAAATGGTTTGTTCCAATCATGCATATTGTACTCGGTCTGTACTTGGGTGAATCTCCTGCTAATGTCAACAGATTTTCCTGTCTATTAATATAAACAGATTTTCCTATCTAAGGGCTGAACCTGGAGTAATATCACTGGCTTAACAACAAGTCTTAACATACATGACTTGTGATGTTAGTATAGCCTTTTTTTCTGAGAATGACTAACATCAAACTATAATCAAGCAGGCAGAGGTTTTCTACTGTAATATAAAACAGCATTTTAAACCAAGCTGAAGACTAGACTAGATTACTTGCATTTTTCCATCTCAGTTCTATGATGCCTCATAGTTACTAACCAAAACATATGTTGTGACTAGACTGATGTGAAAACATAAGTAGCGTCTCTTTAAGACTTGAAGGACAGCAGCCATCCACCAGGTGGAAACAAATATGGAAGAAGTTGCAACCTGCACTGTTGTGTTTCTGTAGTTGTTATTGTTTAATTAAACAGCATCCATCAGTTTCTTTCTTCATATCTGGAAAGTATTTCTTTGGTAACAGGAAAAATGATGCCTTCAGTTTTAGTAAAGTATGTCAGCCACCAGTATTAATAATGCTCTTGCTTCCTCTGCTTTGCAGGATTCCCATCACTGGTGAATGACTCAGATCGCTCCCAGCTATCTTTCCAAGGATGCATGCAGTTCATTCATGTGGATGACCAACCTGTAGACTTGCATGCAGTGGAGCAAGGCAAGCTAGGAAGCTTTGCAAATGTAATCATCGATATGTGTGCCATTATTGACAGGTAAGTTAGGGAGAAATCACTGGGAACTACCTAAGATAGCTTAATACTGTAGATTATGTCATGACATAATAATACCAGGAAAAACTGCCTCTCCCTAAAAGCCGCATGGTTCATAAAGTTACCAGATGACTCTTGGGCTCTCCTTTCAAAAGGTAATTGCTACTGTAGGTGTAAATGGAGAAGATAACATCAGCCAATCATAATGCAGCTGACTTATTCATTTGAGTAATGCAAATGCATTGGGGGGGGGGGAATTGTGAAAATTGTCTTTATTTTTAAAATTATATTCTAGTCACCATGTCATGTCTTAGAAATATAGATGTCCCCAGGATATGACACTCATATTACTGATAGAGGAGTTATTTGCAAAGCTTAGAGGAGATTCCATTTTGTAGGACTCAGTAATGTACTGGGATTGGAGTTATTTGAGAAATTTAGCAGACTGTCTGCATAATTATATTATCTCTTTAATAGCATAGTTATATTTTTGTAACTTGCCTCTGAATGACTACATTATTAGCCTGAGCAATTTTACGAAGGTTATTTTTTTTTAATAGTCCCCTTTAGTATAGCAAAGCTTTAGTATAGCAAATGTGTTAAATTTTAGGGTTACTGCATACCTTATCTATTATTCCAGTCTTTCCCTAAGAGATGGTTGGAGTTAAGGTTGGAGAAGGTAGAATTTTCTGAAGGGCTTGGTATGGGGGGTCAGACATAGTAAATTTGTATGTAACTCTGTAAATAATGCATGCATTTGGAACTTTAGGTGCCTTTCTAGGAGACAGAAAATAAAATAAATGTTATTTATGTAATAAATAGAATCTATTACAGTGAAATTCTTCTCCTTGAGTAAAAAAAAACCTATTAAGTACACTTCAGTTCATTGCACTCAAAAAGGGTAAGTGTGAACATTTCACAAAGAGTTACTCCTGATTTCTAAACAAAGTAGAAGAACCAGGTAGTGTCAAGTCATGAGAGAAAAAATACTGATGATCTGCTTTAAAGGGACTAAATCTATATTGGTTGTTCAGTGTGCTGACACCTTAAAGAAACAAGCAATTTCATCCCCAAGGTGGATAAATTGCAACTTGAGATCCAGCAAGCTGTAGAAGAGCAATCTTGTGGAACTTTGCTATAATATAAGGCTTCCTCAGAGTACTTAGTTTCTCAGAGAATGGTAGTAGGTTCACATGCTCACATAAATGTACATGTAATAAATAGCCAGGCTGTTCTAAAACAGCATTGTGGTCCTGCCTTAACTCTCCTTTGATAGTTTTCTGTCAGAACCTATCTCTAACGGTAAGTCTTTTCAAGTGTGTGTGTGTGTGTGTGTGTGTGTGTGTGTGTGTGTGCGCGCGCATATTTAAAATGTTTCCCCTTCTTGTTTGAGAAGAATGCTTGTAGTATCAAGGGATGAAGCAGTGGGCTACACATGTAAAGTCTAGTGTGTGGTGAAAAATATGTGACTTTTATGTACATTTAGGTTAATTGCATTCTGCTGTGAAGCTGTAGATAAATGCATCATTTTTTAAAAGTTTAGTGAATTTGAGATCTGTACCTTATCCTATAATATACCTAGACTGTCAAGAACAAAGACTTTGAAAAACAAAATGAAATAACATACATTAGTTCAGTTCCCAAACTTTCTGCTTTTTCTAACACATGCGTATTCTAGAACCAGGAAATCATTTCATAGGGTGTAGACACATAACACTTTAACACTAGTGAGTTTATAACTCTATGTACGAATGTAAGTTACACTCGTACTGAGATAAGACAGTGCTTTGACTGTAGGTGCCCACAGTAAGCATTATTGCAATTTCTCACCATTAGCGGGTGGAGGAACAAGAAGTATCCTGTGGCCTATAGAAAAGAGCAACCTGAAGATGAAATTAACTAGTATTGCTGCAGACAGATGACATGCATCGTAGTGTAAATTACACTGTTGTAGTGTTACTCCTGAGTTTCCAAGGGCTAATTGTATCACAGAGTAGACATGAACATAGGGCTACATGTCATGCATCCTCTAAACATTTGAGTGTTATTTATTATTCTTTGGGGATTGACAAGATGCTCCAGAATAGGTAGGAATCCAGACATCCTTTTTGTCAGATGGGAGAGTTGGGTGGAGTTATAAAAGTAAAAATGATATGAATGTAAAGAAGGCTATCATAGGAAAGAAGTTATTTTTTTTTCCCTAACCTTCCTTCAATCTGGTTGACTCTAGAGAGGCCTCCACAGATTATTATCCAGTAGTTTAAGTTGATCTGTTCTGGTTTTCAGTTTTCTATTTTTGGAAATAAAGGCAGCTCTAAAAAAACCCCCAAAAAAGGATGTGAAAAGATCTGTTGTTGGTACTTCATTTTTTATCCCCAGCTGATGAATTTACACACTGGTGTTCAGGCTAATTCCAATCTCACTTATGCATGTGTAAATAAGAAGCAATTCTACTGAACTGAATAGAATTCCACTGCAGTGAAATTAATGAGAGACCATCTACTTCCGTAAAATTGGAGAAAAGAAACAGAACTTAATAGTAGAAAAATGCTGGAGGAAGGGGAAACAAATGTATTTTTCCAAATATGATATAAACCTTCATGGCTAATTACAGGCAGTCAAAAAGCCTGAAGCTGAATCGATTCAGTCTTCTCAGGTTAATCTAAACTGTGTAGCTTGAACTGATAAGCAAGTGAAAAGACATTCACTTTTGATTCTGGAAATGCAGCCGTATGCCTATAGTGGCCCACACCAGAAGCTTGGGGGTGCTAGAGCATACTGCCCTGCTCAGCTGGAGCAGGCAGCTTGGGCCAAGGCTAGCCCACCCATCCTGCATGGGGGTTTGCAGGGGAGATGCACAGCATCCTGGGATGCTGGGGAACTGTGAGTTAACTTGAACCTAGATGGGATCTGGGACAGAAGTTCAATAAACTAATTTAACCTAAATCAGTTGAGTCTGATAATACATCTATCAGAGTTTATCTTAAACTGGTTTCAGCCATTCTGAAAGTGGCTTATGTGCATTGAACTTCTGTTGTGTTATAGATCTGAACTGGTTTCTGCTCACTTATACTGCTTTATATGTAATTTCTGTCTCTAGCCCATATGTAATGGACTATATTCTTAAAGATTTATCTGGTCTAAACATTACTACATATACAAATTACTTCAAAACAGATAGTAAATGTATGAACAAGCCAACCTGTATTTATATTCTGCTTATATTTTGCCACTCTATTTGGAGCATTAGACATAGACATCCATAACATGATGTAGGATAAAGAAGTGTCTCATTTTTTTTCTTTGTTTTTTAAATTCAGTTGGATTTTGTTGTAGTCAGGACTTTTTTGTTTAAAAAAAGAAGAAAGAATTAAGAATAGAAACCCAAAAACCCAAAGTGTGATGTAGGGAATAGGGACTGAAGACATTGCTTCCTTTCTAATTTAAAAATGGCTAAGTTTACAAGTATTATTTTATTCTGTAGCTTAAACTTTAAAAGAAATCCCTTATATGGGGTGATTTGGAAGTGATATAGCAAGTTTAAGATCGAAATGAATGTTTATAGTTGTCTTATTAACATCTGAAATGAGGGATTACAAGCAGTTTTGGCAAAACATACTGCCATACATAATAGTACTATTTGTGGGCTTTTTTTTAAGATATCAAGTGCCATGTGCACTGCATATAGGCTTGATTTTATTTGTGTGGCTGAGATATTGGGATCCTCTTGCTTTTCTCACTTGTTTGGCACTGAATCATAAAGGCTTCAGTCTTCATCAACATGGAAATTGCTTTCATGGCCACACTTCAGTAAAGACTCCCACTGGGCAAAAAGATAAGCCGTCAAAATGAATTATTTTTACTGCAGATTTCAGTTATTTGTTTGGAAAAACTGAAAGTTGTAAACAGTGGCATTTTTCATCATTAGCTAAATATGTAGTATGAAGGGGACAATTTCTAAATAAGGACAATAAGATGAAAGGTGAGGAATCTTTTGAGTTCTTGCATTATACTCAACCTACTAGCAGCTCTTTTTTAAGTCCCAAATTCTATCAGTGATACACCTTTTATGAAGACTCTCGCTGAATTTTAATTCCAGGTTTTTTCCCCCAGAACACTGAAAAAACAGGAGAAATGGGAAATCACTCATATTAAAATATCACAATTGTATTTGGCAAAAGGTTTGTGACACCATGTCCTGTTTATTTCATCTAGCATGTTACTGTTGAATCAAGGCATGCAAATGAAAGACTCATTTGGATTTTAAACTCTAAAGCTAAGAGAATTCGACTTTTTAAGTAGTGATATGGTATGAGTATATGTAATTTAAGTACCTAAAAGTTTATATAGACATACATGGATATATATATCTTCATAATCAGCACGGAAATGTAGAGAAAATCTCTGGATGGTTGGGGTCAGAAAAAAATGAGACAGAAAAAATATATAGCAGAAATGTGTTTTAAAAATAACAACAAAAAGAAATAATCACAATTAAAATTGAGAAAAAAGTTCATTCCTTGCTACAGTGTCCAAATAATCTGTAAATGTACTTGCAATGTACATCTCACTGTTGTCAGTGATCAACATGCCATACAGCTAGCAACAGCTCAGATCCCTATACACCTCCTTTACTTACCATTAACAAATGGAGTTGTTGTTAGAGTCCAGATGGTATAGTTGTACATCAGGATTTTAACACAGGACATTGAATGAGAATTATTATTCACAACTAATTTTTCCTGGCACCCTCAGAGAGTTACCAAGTGCTACTGGCTTTGCAGTAGTTGAGGATATGGATTTTTTTTATCACTGAATAGTCATAATGAGATGATTTTACAATTATGGATTCAAAATTGTTATTGATTATGCATAACATATGTCGATCTTAATGGAATCTGGAAGTGCACCATAAAGACATAATAAATATTAGAGATGACATATGAAACACAACAACAGAATTTTCCTAGAGATGCTTTCCAATATTGCATGAATGTATTGAA